ACTGAGTTACCGTTTTTGGCCCTTTTTGCCCCATATCTTCGGAACGGCTAAACCTGCCTTCGCCAAAAACTAATCAGCACGTCTCCTTATCAATACGAATCGAATGTTTTTTGAATTATTCAAATCGCTATTCCCGAAATCGTCGACGAAAATTTGTATCCGCACACACATACGCACACGCACACACACACACACATACACACATACATCCATTTTTTCTAAGGTATGCCAAAATATTCAGACACCTCTGAAACGTACAGATATATAAAAAATTTCATTTTCGATTTTTTTGCGATTACTATAACTTACTCTACGGGAAGTTAAATATTACAAACTAAATAAGTAGGGTGCGGTGGACAGACGTGGGCCACTCGAATAACTGTCACTGAAAGACTAGTGGCATGTAAGACGAACCGCACACATATTTATCATATTTTGATACTTGCTCAATTTTAGAAAGAATTTTGGGGTTATAAACATACTCTCGCACTGTACAGGAAAAACGCGCTAAGAATTTCGCAAAAATGGTGTTTGTAGATAGAAGTCGGCCACGATTTGTGGACAGACATGGGCCACTTGAGTAATGCCATAAAAATAATTATTTATTTTTATCGCTTCATCTATCATGTCTGAAAAAAAAATAGAAAACTCCCACAAAAATTGATTATTGCTATGAAGGAAGTGAAAATAAATAAAATATCGAAGCTTGTTGATTCTGACCATGGGGGGTAAACATAGAACAAATACGCGTTATACGGTATGAGTGTTTTCAGCATATAACAGATTGTGCTAGTGTGCTTCAAATTCAGCACACACAGTTTAAAATACACTCTCTAGATATAGTACACGTACTTTAAACGTTAAAATACCATTCCAACGAACTCAAAAACAACGTAGACGAACTGAAACAGACTATAACAAAATATTGCCTGGACATTGTGCTAATTAACGAAATACACCTGAAACCTACAGACAGACTTTACATCAACAACTACAAAGTATACAGGAACGACAGACCGACAAACTCACGCGTATGAGGAGGCACTGCGATATTGATCAAGTCTAACATTGGACACGAGCAAGTGCCAAACCTGACAGCGGGCGGTTCTGAAATAACAACTATCAATGTATACAAAAGAGGTCAGAAAGTGACTATAATATCGATTTACATCCCGGTAAGCGGACTGCAACTGACGGACCTACAAAACCTACTTGATTCAAATACACATGTCTTAATGGCAGGAGACTTTAACTTGGAACTGCAACTACAACAATGTGAACGGAACCCGACTTTACGAATATCTGACCGAACACAACACCACGGACGCACAGCTACACTATCCTGACACGCCGACCAGATACGCCACCGTACAGACACACCATCACAGCACGATCGATTTGGCCTTGACAAAAAATCTTTACGTCACATCCGAACCCATAACAAAGAACACTTTTCAACTCTGACCATAACCCTGTTTTTATGACTATATCTGACCGACTCGACGTTGACCATACTCCAGAACGCAACATTTTAGATTATTTCAGAGCCAACTGGCCACTTTTTAGAAACATTATTACAGACAATATACGACATTCGATACCCATAGATACCAATACAGACATAGAAGAGGCTGTGACTCATCTGACACAGACAATCAAGGACACCATCGAACACACAATACCGCTACGACACGCAAATACATCCACATTCGACACACTACTCCAACAAATATTAATAAAAATTAAATTAACGAACAATATAAAGAAACTGTGGCAACGTACTGGTGACAGACTACTAAAGGAACACGTAAACAGATTGACAAAAATTATTTATAATAAGATACGTGAGCACCGGAACGACACTTGGACTAAAAGACTAGAAAACATCAACACTGACCCGCACAAAGTTTGGCAAACAGCCAAAAGACTGACCAACAACTACGCCACGACACCAGCAGACAAAGCAGAGATTTTGGCCACAAACTTTGAAAACATACACAGACAAAACGCCGACATGTCCAACGCAGACTTAAGACGAGGCGTACACAATGCTATTCAAAATTTTACTGAACTATTTAACGACAAAGACTTACGAATAGACTCTGCTACAATTTCTGAAATAAAGTCGACAATCAGAAAACTACCAAACAAGCACCCGGACCGGACGGACAAAATATTATACTGAAACAACTACCAACAAACGCATACATACTGATTACACGACTGGTTAACCGAATAATGGCTAAAGACCACTTTCCTGCTTCATGTAAAACATCAACCATATTTCCTATCCTGAAGCCAAGGAAACAGCAAGACTCTCCGCAAAATTACAGACCAATCAGCCTCCTCAATGCAATGAGCAAAGTAATTGAAAAGATACTGCTCAAACGCATCAACAGACGCATCAGACGAAACAAGATTATACCAGACAGCTTTAAGGAACAGCACTCTACGTTACATCCACTCACACAGCTAATAGGAAACACTGTACTCAACTTCAATAGACGAAATCATACCGGATTGGTGCTGCTCGATTTCGAGAAGGTCTTCGACACCATCTGGATGGACGGACTTATACACAAATTAATATGTTTTAACTTTCCACCGTACATCACAAACAGACCGTAATTTTACAGTTCAAGTAGACAACACAACATCAACGATTAAACAAGTGACGGCGGGAGTACCGCAGGGTTTGATCCTGGGATCGTCCTTGTTTAACGTCTACATACACGACATACCCACTGACGCCGACACAACACTATTGACATTTGCTGATGACACTGCCATATACAGATCATCACGATCACCTACGCTACTGATTACAAAAATACAAAGACATATAGACGCATTGACAAAATATAGGGAAAAATGGCAAATTAAAATTAATCCTGTAAAAACAGAAGCAATTTTCTTTACTAAAAGTTGTTGGTTCATTACACTTACTGACTTGACAAAACTAAAGGTAATGGGCCATGAAGTTGAGTGGTCCAAGAAATTTAAATACCTTACACAAAACATACAAATACTAAAACTGGACAGGCTTACGGGATGAATCTACTGAGACCTCTTTTGAACCACAACAGCCCGCTAAGCGTGAAGAACAAGCGGACACTTTACTTGACACTCATAAGACCTTTACTATTATACGCCGCTCCAGCATGGAACGCGACAGCGAAGACCAACAGACGGAGACTACAAATAGCACAAAACAAGGCACTGCGACTAGTACTCGACAAATTAAGGGACCCACTGACGAGACACTACTACTCAACTAAATAATTACATGAACAGACGGACATACCGACTATACTCGAACATTTCAAAAAGCTCACCGAAAATTTTTACCGGAAGTGTAGGGATCATGATAACAGTACCATCCGAGCTTTAGGCCAATACACATCGGAAATGATTTGGTATGGAGATTATGTCATGCCAAACTACATGATCGAGCCCGCAGTAACTTTATAAGCAAGAAACTACTGGAAATAGGATTTTTTGGAGACTAAAAACTTTTCTCTTTTTTGTCCTTGTTTGATGTATAAAATGTTATAAGAATATAAATAGCCAATGAAAGTAATGTAAAACTAGAAATTTTCGAGTGGAATACTCTAGAGTAGAAAAACTCATATATAAATCACTGTACATACATAAATTGTAACCAATATATTGAATGAATTTTTCTTTCTGCCTGTCTGTCTGTTAAAATACTGATTGAATGTCATTCGATTTTTGTGAAATGAGTATTAAGTCCGGAATTGATTTTAGATCTTGCTTTTTTAAAAGCACCTGACTTAATACTTACAAGTTAACATATATCTTGTTCTATTTGGTGTATGTGCCTTTTTGCATACTTCTCTTTCCAAACCCCGGTTTGGGGTTGGTAATGGGACGGAAGTAAGCACCCATTAGAGAGTGTTTTTCTTTTTTCAAAATTGTAAAATCTTTTTATATATTTTTTCAATAAACTTAAAAATCATTGCGTAAAATCCTTCAGGGAGCAGAACAATTGGCAGTGGCCTGGGAAAAAACTCAAGATGTCGGCAAGATTTCAAAACATGGATGTGCAGACAAGCACTTTACTAGAAAATAAATATGATGCGCTCTCGGACCGTACAGACATGGATACCGATAGGGAGAGTGAGGATTACAGGAAGGTGACACGCCAAAAGAGGCCGGAGCCATCTACCTCAGGCGTCGAAACTGTGCCACCCAAGAACACCACTACGAAAGAGGCAAAAATTCCGTCGATAATCATCAAAGGTCAAATCGATTTAAAAACAATTAAATATCTACAAGAAACATCTAAAATTAATTTTAAATACCAATATCTCAACAATTATCTACACAAAATCTTCACTGACACCGCTAAAGAACTCGAGAAAATCAAAGAAATGCTAAGGGACTGCAACTATCCATTTTATACCTACATAATGAAAGAGGAAATATCAAAGAAAATACCCATAACCGGTCTACATCCATCGATTACAGAGACAGAGGTCCATGAAGATCTTCTTTCGAAAGGGATAAAAGCCAGACTAGTAGTGCAGATAAAGAGGAAAACCTCAGATGGTGGTCATCATAAATTGCCTATATACATTGTTCTCCTTGATAAAGACCAGAATATGTCGGAGCTAAGGTCGATAACAAACATTGGTGGACACATCTTCTCCTGGGTAGCCTATAGACCGCAGAACAGAGCGCTGCAGTGTGTTACAAATGCCTCAAATTTGGCCATACCTCTTACACCTGAGACTTAAAGTACAGGTGTATAAAGTGCCTCAATGTGCACGCGGCGTGTGTGTCAATTGCAAAAGCGAACACTCGGCAAATTACTCCAAATGCAGTGCTCTTATTAACTACAAAGAGAAGAAGGAAAGTGACGCTCTCAAGAGAAGACAAGCGTATAGGCCAGCACCAACACCAGTGCCGCTGACGAGGAGCTTTTCGTCAGCTTTAAATACCACCAGTATTGGCCCAAATGCCAAATCAGCGTATCCTTAACTCCCTGTTCCACCATTATCATCACCGATCCGGCCTGCACTATTGCTATCACCAACCCGGCCTACCACCAGCCAGCCTGATCCAGATTTTAATACACCAGAGAGAGCATCAGGATGCTGTTTGCTGATCCCCAGGTAAAACAAATTTTCAGTGAACTTTACAAACTAACAAAATCACTAAACACCAACATGACATATAACGAGAAATATACAACAATACTTAACTTTTTAACAGCATCACCATAAATCAAACGCGCGACTTACACATAATGCACTTTAACTCTAACGGACTTAAAAACAACGTGGACGAACTGAGGCAGACCATAACAAATTATGACCTGGACATAGTACTGATTAACGAGACACACTTAAAACCTACGGACAGACTCTATATCAACAGTTACAAAGTTACAGGAGCGACAGATAGACGGACGCACGCGGATGGGGCGGCACTGCGATTTTGATCAAGTCTAACATCAGACACGAGCAAGTGCCAAACCTGACAGTGGGCGGTTGTGAAATAACAGCTATCAATGTATACAAGAGAGGTCAAAAAGTAACCATAATATCGATTTACTTCCCGGCAAGCGGACTGCAACATACGGACTTACAAAGACTACTGGACTCGAACAGATTTGTTCTTATGGCAGGAGACTTTAACGCACAACACACATCTTGGAACTGTAACTTTAACAACGCGAACGGAAACAGACTTTACGAATACCTGACCGAACACAACACCACAGACGCACACTATCTGTAACTACACTATCATGACACTACACTATCATGACACACCGATCAGGTGCGCCACCGTACAGACACACTATCACAACACGATCGATTTGGCATTGACAAAAAATCTACACGTAACATCCGAACCCATAACAAGAACACTTTTTAACTTCGGCCATAATCCAGCTTTTATGACCATTTCAGACAGTCTAGTCGTCGACCAGACTCCCAAACGCAAATTTTTAGATTACTCCAGAGCCAACTGGCCATTTTTCAGAGTCATCACAGACAACACACGACACACAATGCCAATCGATACCAACACTGACATTGAGGAGGCTGTAACACACCTTACACTGAACATATTTTATTGAAAATAAAATTTAAAAATCATACGAAGAAACTGTGGCAACGTACCGGTGACAATGAAATACATGACCACCGAAACAACACTTGGACCAGAAGACTCGAGAACATAAATACTGACCTACACAAAATTTGGCAAACAGCAAAAAGACTGACACGGGAACCAACATCCATACCTCCACTCAAATTAACTGACAACAATTACGCAACGACATCAGCAGACAAGGCGTAAATATTGGCAAAAAACTGAGAACATACACAAACAAAATGCCAATATGTCAAACGCAGACCTGAAACTAGTGGGGCGCATGGCATCGTGCCTTAAGGCGAATTGCTGGAACTTCCCGTGCCGTGATTAAAAATTAGAGGAATGAAAATAATCAATAATTGTTTTAAATAATTTCAAATAGATTATTTATACATACATACTGTAAATAAGCACATATAAATACATACTGTAAATTTATATGTGCTTATTGGGCGACGAGCGTATTCTACGAACAACTTATATGTAAGCTTACAAGAAATTTCTTTAATTTTTTTTAATTTGACAAATGGTAGATCAGGATCAATCCGCAAAAGACGGAGGCAATTTTATTTACAAAGAGCCGAAATGCCACGACTAGACTGACTGACTTGGACAAAATAAAAGTATTGGACTGTGTAGTTAAGTGGTCCAAAGATGTCAAATACCTTGGTCTGAACCTGGACCGTAGACTCAGCTTCACGAAACATATTAATATGAAAATTGGACTCTCTTGAACCACAACAGCCCGCTAAGCGTGAAGAACAAGCAGACACTTTACTTGACACTTATAAGACCGTTACTGACATACGCCGCTCTAGCATGGAACGCGACGACTAAGACCAACTTACGGAAACTACAGACATTACAAAATAAGACACTACGACTAGTACTTAACAAAATAACGAACCCACTGACTAGACATTACTACTCTACAAATACATACTTAAACAGACTGACGTACTGACAATACTCGACTATATAAAATAGCTCACCGGAAATTTTTATCAAAAATGCGGGGTTCATCCTAATACCAAAATCTCGGCCAATATACTAGAGACGTAGTTTGGAATGGCAATCACGCCATGCCAAACTATATACTGACTGATCGACCCATAGCTGCAAATGATACTCGGCTCGACACAGATTTTCCTTCAGAGCGAATAAATCTTTTGTTCTGTTTTTCTTTTTGTAATCATAAATATTGGCATGTGTTTTTTATGAGAGGTAAATGTTTCTTTCTTCTTTTTTGTCACACAATTATGAACTTATTTTTATATTTATTCAGAATTAATTATTGTTTGCAAAATCATATCCAATGATGGATACTATACCTACGGGTAAAAAACCATGGTATAAAATGTAATGTAATACCTGTAATAAAATGTAATACCGATTTTGTTTATTGAAATATATCTTTTTTGAATGAAAAAAAGTTCAATTTTTTCTCATTACAACATATTTGTAATTTTGTTGAAATTATATTTATTTAGTCATTTAGTCAAATTAATCAGGAGTATCTTTTCTATATTATATATTCAAATAAATCTTATCTAGAATTGAACCTAATGGTAAATTTACGTGCTTCAGTTGTTGGCGACATCTATTGAATGCTGAAAGAATTACAATTGATGTAACATCAAAGCGGCCGTGTTTGTCATCTATTTATACTTATTTATCTATGTTTCTGCTGTTACCAACGTTAGCAGGTCGTTTTTTAAACGCATCATTACATCCTCTGAAAACAGAGAGGTTGCGGCAGAAGCAACACAGCGTCAAAAATTGCAAGTACCAGCAAAGGTTTCCAAAAAGGTCGAAAGTAATCGATTTCTTCAAATGAATACATAGATTTTTGCATGATTTGCAATAAATTGAGGCAAAGCTGACAAGAAAAAAATCCATCGAGTTCCACTTCCACGCGTTGCGTTGATATGAACACCTGCACCGACTTCACGTATACCAATTACGCCTGGAATGTGTGTTTGAATATTGCTAAATGTTTTCTTCAACAATTTTATCATTCCAACTTTATTACTTTTTTCAGACATTCAGACAACACTGTTTTTCAAGTTCTAACCTTCATTTCGTATCAACTATTTTGAATGTTGTAAATTTGACAAGGGTTTCGTAATAAACGCATTTGAGAACCCTCAGTGTAAAAAATTGTAGCAGCATTTTTTCAGATGAAAAATTTGGGAAAAACTTCTCCCTACTTTTTCGGAAAACACGGTAAATACACTATTTTGCCATACATAATTGCAAGCATTTGCTATGATAAAAAGTTGGGTTTTGGAATACCTTTGCAAATAAAAAAAAATCAGACAAAAATTTCATTTACAACTATTTTACAACCAAAAATAAAACGTAGCTCACTTCTGTCCACAGCACTCGGGTGTACACTAGGGTACATTCAACACATCTATTGCATGCATATATGTATAGTGGTACTCCGCCTTGCGAGTTTAACTTGTTCCGTAACCGCGATCCTATGTCGAATCGCTCGTATCTCGAAGCAATTTTTTTAATGTACAGTGGTCCTTGCCTTACGAGCTTAATTCGTTCCATAAGCACGCTCGCATGTCGAATTGTTCGTATTTCGAAGCAATTTTTTCATATAAATTCATTGAAATGCTATTAATTAATTCCAGCACAGTGTTTTTATTAATAATAACTAATTGTTAGTTATTGCTAAGATATACACTCTGCAGAAACGTAGCAAGTTTCTAAATAAAAAATAACTAAATTATCATTACCCTAGTGTTTGAGTTTTTAAAAAAAACTATCTAATGGGCATTATTTTTTTTCTTTAACTCGTTATAGTAAAAATTTTCTCATTTAATGAGTTGGACATGTCTCGCCAAACAACTCTGATGCTCGACCAGCTGCATCTTTTTCGAGGTGATTTTTATCCACAAACTTTTGTGTGCGTGTATGTATGTGTGTGCGGATACAAATTTTCGTCGACGATTTCGGGAACACGGATGAAGCAATTTGATTAATTCAAAAAACATTCCATTCGTATTGATAAGGAGCCGTGCTGATTAGTTTTTGGCGGAGGCAGGTCTAGCGGTTCCGAAGATATGGGGCAAAAAGTGCCAAAAACGGTATCTCAGCTTTTAAGAGAACGGAGCGTCCGATTTTAATAATTCAAAAAACATTTTACTTGTATTGACAAGATGGGCAGGTCTAGCGGTTTCGGAGATCTAACGAAAAAAGTAAAAAAAAAAGTCATTTGGCGGTCAAGAACGATCATTAGACATATGCACATCAAATTATCAGATATTTTATAGAGATTTTAACAATAAGTATAAATTTTGTTTACATTTCTATGGGTTCCGTACTAATGTTTATCTGTTAGACAGCGACGCGGCGCTTACGCGCTTTATATTTTCTTTTGAATTTTGCTTGTATAAAGCAAACGAATCGCGACTTCGGCGACTCGTATCACGAAAAACACGTATGACGAGTCGCTCGTAAGCCGGGATACCACTGTATTTATACGGAAAAATTAGTTAGACATGTGTCGTAGAACAACTTTGATGCTCGACCATCTTTTTCGGAGTGATTTTTATTCACAAACTGCTCCTTTGTACTTTGTACCACATTGCACGAACAATTTACATAAATAATGGCACAATTAATATTAACGAATTGAAATTTTTAACTCTAAAATTATTTACTTTGCATAAACAAAAATTCTTGTTACAAGTGCTATCAGATCAAGGATGAGCAACCCGCGTGCTTCATGCCCTTTACACATTTGTTTGCATTTCTAAAATGTAATTTTGACTTTTTGACAACTTTCTCTCATCATTAAATTAATTATGTTGTATTTTTTTCTTGTTATTTTTGTAATATTTTCAACTTTGTATTTTTATATTAATAAAAGGGTATAAAACATGCTTTTTCAACAAGTATTATTAATTCTATCAAAAACTAAATAGTCACATACCAATAATATTTTTCTAACATCCAATTCAAAACGATTAATTAAATTATGGATAATTATTAATTCTTTCTGAAAAAGATCTAATATTTT